GGACATGCAGGGAAAATAAAGGTTCCTGTGCAGCTCACAGCTGTGGGGGACACAGAGCTCAAGAAATAATGGACATGGGTGTGGGGCACGGCCACAGTGTTTTGGACAGGTTCAAGCCTTGGACTGATGAGAAGGCACAGTCCTCTCGTGGCCACGTGCAAGTCCCAGCTTGGAGGGCAGAGCCCTCCCAGCACAATTATAGCCAACAGCTATAGTTGTAAGCTTGAACCTATGGTCTGAACACGTGGCCCCACGTGCCTGAGTGATACAGTTCAGGTGCATGTAGTTGAGTAGGATTGAAACCCACGAGAATGTTGTAAACATCTTGACCACACCCTTACATTGCCTCGTGGCATCTGCTATAAAATAAAGACACAGGTTGTGGGTGTTGGTGCTGTCTCTCCATCAGAGAAGCAGCGTCCCACCAAGACCCAGCTTTCATTCTCTTGTCTGTCATTTCTAAGTCCTTCATGGCCCTCTCTCAGGGTCATTGAACCAGGCTGAGCTGGCATGGCACATAAGGCGCCCTGGGCTGAGTATGCCATGGCCATGCCGGCTCACCACATATGGCACCCGACCAGGGACTGAGTTCTGCAACCAGGAACTGAGTTCTGGGACTGGAGACTGAGTTATGAGGACTAGGACCTGAGTTTGGGGGAACTGCAGTGGTCAGGTGAAAGGAGGCTCCCTTGAGGCGTGTGCAGAAAGTAAGGTAGGGAGCCGAGGTGTGGTAATAGCTCGGTGTAAAACTTGGGAAATTCAGGATCCTAGGAAGGGATCCCTAAAAACAATGCTTATTGAAGCATTTTTAAATTTCGTAAGGAGAAAATAAGTAGAAGCATTTTTAAATTTCTTAAGGAGAAAATAAGTAGAAAATGGAATATAGAAAATAGAAAATAAGATAGATACAGATTAAGTGGAAAACAAGAAGTAGAAGATAGTACAGGTAAGATTTTGGTTATTTGTTTGCTCATAGGCACTGGACCTCGTGAGGTTTTGCAGGTTCAGTTAAGATGTGGAATTTATGGGGATTGTAACCCAGGAAGGTTTGGGCAGGGGAAGCCAAGCCTACCTATAGTTCACAGATAGAGGTAGAAAATAAGTAGAAATAAGCAGTAGAAATAGAGAAGTAAGCAATAGAAAGTAAGCGGTAGACGTTAGAAACTAAGTGTTAGGAAATAAGCTGTAGAAATAGAGAAATAAGAAGAAATAAGCGGTAAGAAATAAGTGGTAGGAAATAAGCGGTAGAAATAAGCGGTAGAAAACAAGTGGTAGAAATAAGGTAGAAAGCAGTAGAAATAGTAGGTAGAAATAGGTAGAAAGAAGTAAATAGATACAAATAAGGTAGAAATCTCCTAGGGTTTGTTTAAGCCACTGTAAAGCAAAAAATGGCTGTGGTTGATATTGTTTAAGGAAGTAACTTTTATTTCTGACCTAGATTGTAAGCTCTTGCAGTAGTTGCATTGTTTCTGGGCTTTGGTTATCTTTGCTTGTGTGACCTGATAGCTCCCTGGGACTTTGGGTCTGTGTGAGACCCCAGACTCGGAGTTGGAGGTCTCCAGCTCTGCAAGACCGAGGGCTGCTCATTTCCATGCAGCTGCGGCTAAAGAAAGAAGCTGAGAAGGAACCAAACTTCCACCGGTGGGGACGGGGCTGATTTGACTAGGACTGGTGCTGACTCAGTGTCAAGGCCAACCATCCAGACAGCCTGATCCAGGGGACTAGTTTTGCATCAATGACATCTTTGCATCGGCGGCATCTTACTTCGCAAGTGACCAAGGTATCAACATGGAGTCAGCTGAAGAAGATGGCGACTGAGCCCAAGCAGATGTTAGAAAAGCAAGTGGAAGCTATGCTAGCGTTGGTGAACTGCCAGTTTTCTGTAAAATCTTGTGGAGCTAAATCTAAGGACTCTGAATAAGATATCCTGAAAACGTTAACATGTTTGTAGTTTAGTTTTGCATTGGCATTGTTTTGTTATTGTGTTATTAATAGCCAGAGTTTTGTTCTCTTGTTGCTGTATTGACATTGCTGTGTTTATGATTTTGTTAATAGCCAGAAGTTTGTTTTGATGTTTTGATTATGCTGAATAATTTTTTTAGAGTTTTTGATAATGTAAATAGACGTATTTAAAAACAAAAGAAAAGGGGGATATGTGGGGCACAGCTACAGTGTTTTGGACAGGTTCAAGTCTTAGACTGATGAGAAGGCACAGTCCTCTCGTGGCCACATGCAAGTCCCAGTTTGGAGGGCAGAGCCCTCCCAGCACAATTATAGCCAACAGCTATAGTTGTAAGCTTGAACCTATGGTCTGAACACGTGGCCCCATGTGCCTAAGTGATACAGTTCAGGTGCATGTAGTTGAGTAGGATTGAAACCCATGAGAATGTTGTAAACATCTTGATCACACCCTTACGTTGCTTCATGGCATCTGCTATAAAATAAAAACACAGCTTGTGGGTGTTGGCACTGTCTCTCCATCCAGGAGCAGTGTCCCATCGAGACCCAGCTTTCATTTTCTTGTCTGTCATTTCTAAGTCCTTCGCTGCCCCCTCTCAGGGTCACTAAACGAGGCTGAGCTGGCATGGCACATAAGGTGCCCTGGGGCTGAGTATGCCATGGCTGTGCTGGCTTGCCACACATGGGTACTTGCTGAGGAGCAGATCAGACCTGGGGAGGCCCTTCTGAGAGAAAGTGACCAGAGGTTGGGCTGCCAGGAGGAGAGGGTTTGCTCAGCCAGCAAAAGAGGTGGCAGTGAGGAGGCATTTCAGGCATAATATTGAGAGTGTGTGGGGTGGGGCCAAGGGGAAGGAAGGCTCTGTCAGCTCTGAACCTGGGATAACCTGACCAGCATTTCCAGAAGGTCATACTCGCTGTGCTGTGGGGAGTGGGATCCCCTCACCTTCTTGTGCCATCTGGTGAAGCCCATTGGCACCTGCTTCGAATAATGTTTTTAAATGCAAAAAACAAAATGTGAGTAAACCAGTGATAAAATACAAAGGAAGCCAATGATATGAGCCACTGGTATCAAAACAGAGCACAAAAAGTGGTGGTAGTGGTGGGAATCAGGCTCTTCCCCAGATCACAAGAAAAGCATTGCAAGGATCCATGCACAGGTGATTGCAGTGTGGCTGGGTTTATTTGTGATGAAAATCAAAGGAGTGCCCCTCCAGGTGTTAATGTAAGAAACATTCAAACCTGTGAAGAATTTTTGTGAGTTTATTTGAGCCATACTGTCGACAATTGCTGGGAAACAGAATCTTGATGGATTGAGATAATGCTCCAGAGAATGGCAGTTTTGCACCTTGGTCTATACGGTACAATCAAAAGAGGAGACATAAGTGGGTTAAATGAAATTCATTGGTGATAGATTAGGGAGGTGGGAGAAAACAAAGTGGGAAAACTTCTGGAATTGGATAAAAAGTAAAATTATAGACACATACTTTTTCACTTAGGTGGGTGCAGGGCAGTTAACAGTCAACAGTTAACTCAGTGACAATGAGGGAATTTGTGATCTTTGCAGCGTGGTGCCTGTGCTTTGAAGGGTCTGGAAAAAGGAAAATTACTTTGACATTCCAAGGATATGTTATCATAGATGCAAAAGTCAATAGGCAGGCTCGGTTAAGGTAAAGATTGACCTTTGTCAGGGAAGATACCAGCCTAAGACATGACTACTCACCATAAACTGTTTTTAGTTAAAGTTTTAATTTCAGATCATCCTTTGTGGTTACTTTAGGTCTCTGAGTTTGCAAGGCTGCCACGCAGGCCTTCCCTGAGCTAGTCAAGTTAGCATGTGGCCCCATTTCATCCACTGGATATTCAATATCCCATTCTCCTCCACTCCGCCATGGAAAAGTCCAATCTTGTCTTCAGCAAGACAAAGGCCAGTGTCCAGAGTTTCTGCTTCAGATTCCTCTGGAGCCTGTGCAGTCTTCTATGGGTCCCAAGTGACCACTAGATCTGCATGGTTGCATGTTCCTGGAGGGAGAGAATGAATGAAAGGGGGGAGTGTGAGTTGTAAAGAGTGAGAGAAAGGGAGGGAGGGAGGGAGATTCTTCACCTGAGATTATGTATTCACAGAACCAGGAGCTTTGTCAAAATAACCAATCAACTTCCCAAGCTTTCACAGACTTCTGATGGGTCTACCCCTAGTCAATGATCCCTTTCCCAGATTAGACTGACAGTCCTCTTGGTCAAGTTCCTCCCCCCACACCTTTTGACTTTTATTGTGAATATCCTTATCTCCTTTTGCTTCCCAGACAATCCAGTACTAATACCAGAAGAGGGAAAGGGGGGTGTTAATCCTTGGGGAGCAATGCTGGGATCCCCTGCAGTGTGTGTGAGGCTGTAGCTTCTTGGCGAAGCAGACAGGCTCAGTGTCCCCTGCTGACTGTTCTTAACAATATCTGACTTACCTTGCTCTCTTCCTTCTTATTACTATTTAGCTAACTATGGCAATAAAGCACCTTTGTAACAGAGTAGTGTCTGTTCTTTATCAACACATTAAATAAGACCAGGTGGTGGGTCTACACTGACCCCCTTCCAAATAGTGATGAACACAGAGGACTTTTCATAACCAGCAGCAGCAACTATAGAGTGATTTCTACTGGTGACAGCCCTGGCACTGTCCATGCCTCTGGAGTTTATAGCCTATGGTCACCCTTGAAGGAAAGGCCACATGCAGTTAGAGGCTAGTGCGAATAGAGGAGTCAGTGCCCAAGTTCAGGCTCCAGGAGGAGAATGCCTGTGCTGACAGGAGGAAGCACTGAGGAGGGGGTGGCCACAATCCAGGTAGGGACAGTGGCTGCAAGGCAGGTGGCACAGAAGGAAGGGCTGGATTCAAAGTTGAGGTGATGCTGGGGTATAAACTGTGGGAAAGAGAAAGGAGTGTGGGGGGTACACATGTTCTGGCCTGGGGGCTGGTGATGTCATTTGCAAAGCCAGGGCTTGTCCTTGGGCCTGAGATTCCTGCTGACGACATCTCCCTGGTTGTCTTTCAGGTCAATGAAATCTACCATGATGAGTCCTTGGGGGCCCACATCAATGTGGTTCTGGTGCGGATAATCCTGCTCAGCTATGGGAAGGTAAGTGAGCACCCAGGCCAGAGCCCCGTGTGCTGGGGGATGGTGGGCTCCCCAGTGAGACACGGGCTTCTTTAAAAGTGTCTATGTCTGCCCAACAAGTCTGCCTCTCCTGGCTGCCCTGTACTTTCTGTAAGAAACAAGGAGCTTGTGAGCCATCCCGTTGTCCTGCTCCCCTTTCACCCTCACCCCTCATTTTCAAATGTAGGTTTTGTTTTTATTCTAGTGTGGTGACTGCCATGGAAAACATGGTTTATTACCCACGGACCCCGCCATGCAGGGTCACACAGGGAAGCACCTGGGTCAGTCAGGAGGCAGATGGAGGGAGGAAAAAACATGGATGAGAGCCTTCACTGGTTTCTGTAGGAAGGAATGGGCGAGTCAGGGTAAGCAGGAGCAGGATTGACTGGCTTGAATAATTTCCTCAAGCTGTGCAGTATAGGGCTGTTTCTAGTTGTGTGGTGCCTCACCCTGGGTTGATCAGGGCCAGAGATAGTGGCCCAGAATGTGAGACCCTGAGGAGGAGGTGCTTGGGCTGGACCCTGGATTGCTTGCTTGGTTTGCATTTGAGAAGAACACTCCATAGTGAGTCCTTGATTATCTCTAGGACATGGCTCACCCTGGGAGGGCAGTTCCACCAGGGTCAGCAAGGCCCTGATATCAGAGCATCAGAAACACAGTTAACACATAACTCATTTTGATGCCTGTCCATATCTTCAACATGTGCCCTCCTCTTCTCATACTGCACACCCTATGCCCCAATAGGGCTGTCCTGCCCTCTCTACCTCCTCTCACTGTAAAACTTGGATCTACTTTTCCCAGCAACGTGCATGGGTCTATGCATGTGTTGTGCATTGGAAGAGAAAGCCCCACCGCAGATAGCTGAGATGGAAGATAAGGAGAGATGTGAGGAAAGAAAGTTCCTGTAGTGCCTGCCAGCTGGGACTGAGCATGAGCCTGCACCAGGCATCTCAAAAAATAAAATTCCACTGCACACAACTTACAAGGTGATCAGTATCAAAATAACAATGAAGGGCTCATTTGGTGCAGTGAATTCCAGAAATAGGGCACTTGAACCCACCCTCCTTACCCTGGGAAGCATGTTTCTCTAAAGTGAGGGAAGTAGACACTGTAAGGACACCAGCCACAGACCCACAGAGAGCATAGAATCTGCCAGAGCATCCATCAAAACAAGGAGATTGGTGAAAACCTACCTGCAGTCTTCTTTCATGCCTTAGCAAGACCTTTAACACGTTACATTTTAATAAGCATAAAAGTTTCAAGTGATAGAATGAATAAAGTTAAATTAGTAGTTATATAATTTTCCTTTGCCCTACAGAAAGAAGCTGTGCTGTATTTTTTAGGGATCATAGGACACTTTAAAATTACAAAAGTACTTTAGGTCATAAAGAAAATTTTGGCAACTTTTATACAGCAAAAAACTGCCTGCCTCTAGACTCTGACTCAATGCCCCAAAATGAGGAAGAAGAATGGTGCATAAATGGAAGATTCAACTCCTTTGAAAATCAAAACAGCCCTTAGGAAGAAGAATGAGAGTATTTGGAGAAAGAATAACCATGCACTACAGATCACAGGCAGCTGCATAGGTGCTTTCCAAGATGAACAGGAGAGAAGGAATGCAAGGTAAGTTTGAACACATGTGAACAACCCAAACCACAACCTAAAGAAAGCAAAACCAAAGACATCATTCAGAAAAAGCAGGTATCAATAAATTAGAAAATAGAAAGAAATTATAGAATCAATCAAGAAGAGAGCCTTGTGGATCACTCGATCTGGGAGAAGCCAGCTGCCATGCTGTGAGGACCATTAAGCAGCTCTATGGGGAGGTCCATAATCAAGGAACCACAGCCTCCTTCCAGTAGCTAGGTAAGGAAGCAAACTTGGAGGTGGATATTCTAGCCCCAATCAGGCCTTCAGATGACTAAAGCCTGAGCTGATATCTGGACTGCAATCTCATGAAACTGAACAAGAATCAGCTGAGCTTCTCCTGAACTCCTGACCCAAAGAAACTATGGAGAAAATGGCGGCAGAATAGACAGATGTCTCCCGAGCCTTGTCCCAGAACAGATAGAATGAGCAGCTGAAACGAGTAACATCCACCCCGAATTAGTGAAGAAGACTCAGCTGGTGAGACAATTTGAAACCAGGAAGGGCAGAGGACCCCTGGAGAAAGCCCAGGGCACTGCGACCACGTGAGCAGCCCACTCCTGTCCAAGGAGCAGCAGCCCCGCGAGCAGCCCGCCCGGTCTGAGGAGCAACAGCCACATGCAGGCAGCCCCCATCCAAGGAGCAGCAGCCACGTGAGCAGTCCAACCCCATCCGAGGAGCAGCAGCCACATGAGCAGCCCACCCCTGTCCGAGAAGCAGCACCTGCACACAGCACAATCCCATCCGAGGAGCAGCAGCCTCGTGATCAGTGCACCCCAATCTGAGGAGCAGCAGCTGTGCGAGCAGCCTCCCCCCACAGCCAGAGGAGCCACCACTGCTGCGAACAGCACCCAACAGAGGATCCACTGACTAATGAGGAGCAGCTGCTGAAGTGACCACCCGAGTAGCAACCACACCCCGAGGAGCCACTGCCACCCAAGGAGCAGCCCCTGAATGACTCAACATCTAGATTCCTCAGTGAAACAAAAAATAGGTAGACAACAAAATTCCCAAAGAAAATAAAAGGAGGAATTGCCAGAAAAGCAGCTAAGTGAAACAGAGGCATGCAATATGTCAGAAAAACAATTCAGAATAAGGGTCATACAGTTCATAAACCAGATGGATGAAAAAATCAACAACTTATGTAAGAATCAAGAAGAAATGAAGAATGATATAGCTGCAATAAAAAAGCACCGTGGAAAGTTTCAACAGTAGACTAGAAGAAGCGGAGGACTGAATTAGCGAATTTGAAGACAGGGAAGCAAAACACACCCAAACAGAACTGCAATTGGAGAAAAAAATTAAAAGACAGGAGGAGAGCCTAAGGGAGCTATGGGACAACATGAAACAAAGCAACATACAAATAATAGGGGTGCCAGAACAACAGGAAGAGGAACAAGGGTTAGAAAACCTATTTGAAAAAATAATGTCAGAAAACTTCCCCAATGTGGAGAAGAAAAAAGTCACACAAGCACAGAGAGTCCCAAACAAGATGAACCCAAAAAGACCCACACCAAGACACATCATAATTACATTGGCAAATATTCAGGACAAAAAGAGAATCTTAAAGGCTACAAGAGAGACAGAAAGTTATGTACAAGGGATCTTCCATTAGATTAGCAAATGATTTCTCAACAGAAACACATCAGGCCAGAAAAGAATGGAAGGAAATTTACAAAGTGATGCAAAGCAAGGGACTGAATCCAAGAATACTCTGTCTAGCAAGGCTATCATTCAGAATTGAAGAGGAAATAAGGAGCTTCACAGACAAAAAAAGGCTAAGGGAGTTTATCACTACCAAGCCAGCAATGCAAGAAATGCTAAGAGACTGGTGTAAAAAGAAGAAATGAAAAGGTAAGAAGGAACAAAGGCACAAAAAATGAAAATGGCTACAAACAAGTACCTATCCTATATAATAAAGAGGTAATATGCAAATTAACCCTCACACCCTCACAAGATGGGTGCCTATGACCAGACCGGCAGGGGGATTAGTGAGAGACAACCAAATGACTGAACAAGCAGGCTGCATGGGGCAACCAGGCCAGCAGGGGGGTTAGTGAGGGATGACCAAACGACTGAACAAGCAGCTCCATGGGGTGACCAGGCCAGCGGGGGGGGCCATGAAGGGAGACCAGGCCAGGAGGGGAGGCAGTTGGGAGTGACCAGTTGGGTGGAGGGGGGGGGGGCCACCAGGCTGGCAGGGATGGGGCAGTTGGGGGCAAATTGGCTGGCAGCAGGGTGGCAGTTAGGGGCATTCAGGCAGGCATGCAGAAGCAGTGAGGGACAACCAGGCAGGCAGGCAGGTAAGCGATTAGGAGGCAGCAGTCCAGAATTGTGAGTGGTCCTGGGGATGGGGCCTAAAACAGTAGTCAGACATCCCCCAAGGGGTCCCAGATTGAAGAGGATGCAGGCTGAGCTGAGGGTACCGCCCCGCCCCCATGCACGAATTTCGTGAACCGGGACTCTAATAAATAATAACTTTAAACAAAAATGGACTAAATGCTCCAATCAAAAGATATCAAGTGGCTGAATGGATGAAAAAACATGACCTATATATATGCTGTCTATAAGAGACCCACCTCAGAACAAGGGATTCACACAGACTGAAAGTGAAGGGATGGAAAAATATCTTTCAGGCAAATGGAAATGAAAAAAAGCTGGAGTAGCAATAAACTAAATAGACCTCAAAGTGAAGGCCATCACAAGAGATAAGGAAGACCACTTCATAATACTAAAGGGATCAATACAACAAGGAGATATAACTCTGGTAAACATATATGCACCCAATGCAGGAGTACCCAAATACATAAAAAAAAACTTCTGGAAGATATCAAGGGAGAGATCATCAGCAATACAATCATGATAGGGGATTTTAATACCCCATTGATACCACTGGATAAATCCTCTAGACAAAAATTCAGCAAAGAAAGAGCAATCCTAAATGACTCACTAGATCAGAACAACCCAAAATACTCAAACACTTGGAAGCTGAATAGCATGTTATTAAATATTGATTGGGTTACCAATGAGATCAAAGAAGAAATTAAAAACATCCTGGACACTAATGACAATGAAAACACAACAATCCAAAACCTTTGGGACACAATGAAAGCAGTCCTGAGAGGGAAGTTTATAGCTCTACAGGCCTACCTCAACAAACAAGAAAAAATGGTAGTAAATCATCTAAATCTACAGCTCAAAGAATTAGAAAGAGAGCAACAAGAAAACCCCAGAGTGAGCAGAAGGAAGGAGATAATAAAGATTAGAGCAGAAATAAATGACATAGAGACCAAAAAAACAATACAGAAAATCAATGAAACCAAGAGCTGGTTCTT